GTTGCAACTTAGTTCTAATAAAGTTCTTATAACTTATTCTAATAAAGTTCTTAGTTTTCAGTGATCGGATTTGTTGCAACTTAGTTCGGAGTAAAATCGAACTGGGAACCTCATTCTCATAACTTAACGCTGTGTTAAAATACTATTAAAACATAAAAGCGTTGAGGCAAGGTTCAAAGTATCGATACGTATCATGCTGGGAGCTTCCCAATATGCCTCTACAAGGGTTGTATCGAGTCAGACCATGGTTCGGAGGGTAGCTGGGACTTAAATTGACCCCTCTGAACTAGTTTTGAAAAAAAATAAATGAAACATAAAAAAAGTATAGATACAGGCTGATACGCCTTACCAGCATATCGACCTATGTTGACACTTTGAACCTTGCATTGAGTTACTAACTCGACTCCCTATCGGGATGACTCGAGCAAACCGAGAAAGTCAACTTGGGAAAAAGGGGTAACGGTTAGGGATTAGTAACTCAATTGAGGTTTTAAACACATGTGTGAATGGCAATAACTCAGCTGAAACCATAGATATGGCAAAAAACGTACACTTTCATTACTAGTTAAAAAAGTTCTGTACAAAAAGAAAAAGGAAAAAAAGAAGAAAGACCAAGAACAACAAAGTTCTTTCAATTTATACCGAGCTCAACAACTCAAGGGTACATCTAGAAGATAGAAAAGCAGATCACTGGGCCTGGTCGCTAGGAGTGGTAGACCTGGGATTGTCAGTCGTTGGTTGGTCTCCATTTTCCTCCTCCTCGGGCTCACTCTCCACATTAGCTGCCAAGATGAGCTCCTTGGGCTCTTGTTCTACTTTCAACTCACAGATCGAGTAGTCGGGTATAGTGGATGAGAGGAGTTTGCAGAGTCTGAAACCCTTTATAATGAAAGGGATGGCGAAGTCAAGCTTCTCAGCATCAAACTCCCCCAAGAGCTTGAAAGCAGCAACTGCCTTCTCACCAGCCACCTCTAGCTCAGCCTTAAATTCCTCCTCACGCTCTGTGAGCTTTGCCTTCAGAGCCTCTTCCCTCTCTATGTTGGCATTGAGTTCGATGAGTGACTTCTGGCACTTCGAGTTGGAAACCTCTAGCTTCTGCGTCAACTCGGCAACAACAGATCAGAGACTAGAGACCTCACAATCAAACTCGGCCTTCATAGCAGCGAAGTCATATTTGACCTGGGCCTTCTCCATTGCCAAGTTATTGATCTAGCATAGGTAGCCCTCCTTAATCTGAGTCATATTATCAACTCGGGCCTACTGACTACGAGCTTGGGCACAAACCCCCTATGCCATGGCATTGGCCTGAAAAGGTAAATGTTTAAGTAAGCAACCCAGTTGAATCAACATAAAAGAGGATAAGAGCAAAACTTACCTTCACGATGTGGGAGAAGAGATGAGTCTCCAAAACATCAAAGGGGAGGTTCTCCATCTCCTCCTAAGACATTGGTAGTACCACACCCTTACTCAGCATGCAAGCGACTACGAATTGTCTAGTCAGGATTCCAGATAGGCATGC